CGAGTCCATACCATAGGGGCCAGCTGAAGTACGCCTTCGGGTGCGGGAGTTTCTCGCTGCATTGAAGACCCATTGGTGGCCTTCGGCTGTTGTCTGCTCTATGGTCGGGTTGTTGTCTCTTTGACACATTCCCGATTTCCATTCTCAATTTTAAGTGTATTTAAATACCGAATTCTCGCAAAAATTAAGTCCAAAGCATGACGTCCTTAAAAGGCCACTCACTCATATTTTTGAAGTAGTCAATATTTTAAAGATATCAATGTTTTACTTATTTCTTTAAACTATTTAGATTTAATTTATTTGGATATCTCAATATTTCATCGTTTCCAGTGGTGAAGTGTTTTGTTTTTCTCCATTTTATAATTTTTGTTCTGAAATTCATCAAGTTCTTTTCCTTTCTTAAGAAATATTCAACACACAATATCGTATATAAAGAACGTTTTTATTACAATAAATGAATAATTGATCATGATGATGGACACTTGTTGATTTTATGTACTTATCATTAAGCATTGCACATGGTCATACTCGAGGGTCTGGTTGATGGATCAGGTATACAGAATAAAGAATATTGGATCATCAAATTAAAGAAAAGGGAATAATGGGATACACGAATATAAAACATAATTCTGCAAAAATAAAAACTAATGTACACAAATACTGATTACAGAAATAAAAGATTAAATGAAAAACGGAAACGTGCACATTCTGTATATATAATTAATAATAGTAGGAAATATTAAAATTAGACCTTTTAATTGATTTAAGCTATGCCAATTCGTGACAATCAGTTTTGTTTCTATTTTTGTGAGGGGGCTTGGTGGCCCAGTGGTCTAAGTAGTCGAACTACTGTATCACTAGCCAGTCAACACTGAGGTTGTGAGTTCGAATCCCGCACGGGGTAGGTGCAGTCGACTCCAATCTTAATTGACTAGGATTGTCAGTTTTCCTACCGAAGGTCGGTGGTTCTCTCCATGCACTCCAGCTTCCTCCACCAATACAAACTGACCGCCACGAAATAGCACAATAGCATTGAAAGTGGCGTTATACACCAATCAATCAATCAATCCTTTTGTAAGCATGTTTTTTTTTTTCAAATTCACGTGGTAATTTTATTAAACTGGGAAAGATACATATTAAGGATCAAAAGAAAAAACATTTTTTTTTTTTTAATAGTTAAAAATATTGCCATGTCAGGGCCTTTTGTAGCTGCCTCGAATGTGACCAACCGAAAAACACGACGTGTGCCATACGTTGAGCAGGGTATGCTTTTATAAAGTGTTAATATTATTACCTAGCACTGAATCAATCGCTGTTAGTGAACGATTCGTCCCGAAAGGTATCATCAGCTCAGTAGTTGGTGCTTCAATAATGGGATGATTTACAAAACAGGTCTCTTTTGAATATGACTCCAATTTAGGTATGTATACATCCTTGGCATTTTTTTGTTTGGAGTTCTAGCGTTTCTGATGTACACAAACTAAAAAAGGCACTTTGAACGTATTATATGTATGCCGTGCTAATTTCATACAAAAAATGTAATGGTTCGAGGAAAGGACAAACAGACAGCAACCAAACAGCGTGACTATTGAAGATACCTATACGTTCGCATACAAACTTCAACGACTGACGTCAGTAAATTGCATATCTCTTTATGTCTCAATGTCAATGGAACAATTTACCCTAATACACAATAGTATTCAACAACTTACCCTACTACATAATGTAATTCAACAACTTACCATACTACACAATGGCATTCAACAATTTATTACCCTACTACACAATGGTATTTAGCAATTTACCCTTCTTCACAATGGCATTCAACAACCTGTCCTACTACACAATGGCATTGAACAACTTACCCTACTACACAATGGCATTTAACAACCTGTCCTTCTACACAATGGCATTGAACAATTTACCCTACTACACAATGGTATTCAACAACTCACCCTACTACACAATGCCGTTCAACAACTTACCCTCCTACACAATGGCATTGAACGATTTACCCTACTACACAATGGTGTTCAACAACTTACCCCACTACACAATGGCATTCAACAACTGTCCCTACTACACAATGGCATTCAACAACTTACCCTACTACAAAATGGCATTCAACAACTTACCCTACTACACAATGGCATTCAAAAACTTATCCTACTACGCAATGGCATTTTACCCTCCTACACAATAGCATTCAACAACTCTGGTGGACAGTTATCTCATTGGCAATCATACCAATTCTTGTAATTTTTATTTTGATGTTAAAAGAAATGTTCGACAACAGTTCTCGTTATTTGTAAAAAAGCAGGGTGTTTCATTCTAACAATTTCTTATTTTTTTCTTTCAACACCATTTGCCACCTCTGGCACTATCATAAAAACGTTATTTTGCGACCTTTTCCTAATCTTCAACTCATTTCATCATTTTGATTTGGGTCTAAGTAGTCGAACTTCTGTATCACTAGCCAGTCATCACTGAGGTTGTGAGTTTGAATCCCGCACGGGGTAGGTGCACTCGACTCCAACCTTAATTGACTAGGATTGTCAGTTTTCCTACCGAAGGTCGGTGGTTCTCTCCATGCACTCCAGCTTCCTCCACCAATAAAAACTGACCGCCACGAAATAGCACAATAGTATTGAAAGTGGCGTTATACACCAATCAATCAATCAATCCTTCTGTAAGCATGTTTTTTTTTTTAAATTCATAATTATCGATATTTTTCTACCGAAAACACTATCTTGCATGGGCTAATAAAAATCAGTGTCTGAACATGGCTGGTTCTCTCACCCTCGCAAACTGTTGCCTACAAAGATTATACCTATTAAGATACTAATTAATACAGAGGACAAGGATTCCTTACAATTTATTATGGCATTTTGTTTTAAATGGCAACGAGATGGATAACGTTGTTTATGACATTTGATTGTCGAGTCTGCGATATTTTGTCGAGGAAGCGAGACATACAGTGATCCTATTTTCAGTCGCTGTCGACTTCGGTTACATTTATTCTGTAGTTTTAATTTTTTATAGATAACAATAACGTTGTCAAATTTACGTGGTAATTTTATTAAACTGGGACAGATACATATTTAGGATCAAAAGAAAAACATTTTTTATCTTTTTTTTAATTGTTAAAAATATTGTCATGTCAGGGCCTTTTGTAGCTGCCTCGAATGTGACCAACCGAATAATACTTATCACCGAGTTTGTGCTTACATGAAAAACACGACGTGTGCCATACGTTGAGCAGGGTATGCTTTTATAAAGTGTTAATATTATTACCTAGCACTGAATCAATCGCTGTTAGTGAACGATTCGTCCCGAAAGGTATCATCAGCTCAGTAGTTGGTGCTTTAATAATGGGATGATTTACAAAACAGGTCTCTTTTGAATATGACTCCAATTTAGGTATGTATACATCCTTGGCATTTTTTTGTTTGGAGTTCTAGCGTTTCTGATGTACACAAACTAAAAAAGGCACTTTGAACGTATTATATGTATGCCGTGCTAATTTCATACAAAAAGTGTAATGGTTCGAGAAAAGGACAAACAGACAGCAACCAAACAGCGTGACTATTGAAGATACCTATACGTTCGCATACAAACTTCAACGACTGACATCAGTAAATTGTATATCTCTTTATGTCTCAATGTTAATGGAACAATTTACCCTAATACACAAAAGCATTCAACAACTTACCCTACTACATAATGTAATTCAACAACTTACCCTACTACAGATGGCATTCAACAATTTATTACCCTACTACACAATGGTATTTAACAATTTACCCTTCTACACAATGGCATTCAACAACCTGTCCTACTACACAATGGCATTGAACAACTTACCCTACTACACAATGGCATTCAACAACCTGTCCTTCTACACAATGGCATTGAACAATTTACCCTACTACACAATGGTATTCAACAACTCACCCTACTACACAATGGCGTTCAACAACTTACCCTCCTACACAATGGCATTGAACAATTTACCCTACTACACAATGGTGTTCAACAACTTACCCCACTACACAATGGCATTCAACAACTGTCCCTACTACACAATGGCATTCAACAACTTAACCTACTACAAAATGGCATTCAACAACTTACCCTACTACACAATGGCATTCAAAAACTTATCCTACTACGCAATGGCATTTTACCCTCCTACACAATAGCATTCAACAACTCTGGTGGACAGTTATCTCATTGGCAATCATACCAATTCTTGTAATTTTTATGTTGATGTTAAAAGAAAGGTTCGACAACAGTTCTCGTTATTTGTAAAAAAAGCAGGGTGTTTCATTCTAACAATTTCTTATTCTTTTCTTTCAACACCATTTGCCACCTCTGGCACTATCATAAAAACGTTATTTTGCGACCTCTTCCTAGTCTCCAACTCATTTCATCATTTTGATTTGGGGATTAAGAAGATTCTTATGACCGGCAATTTAAAGCCGTATTTCGAAAACAAACTATCTCCATGATTTCGACGTTTGATTGACTTTTTCTGTTGATTGTACTTCTTATCATGTTCTAGTTGCTTTTTACTCTGATAATGATTACAAAAACTGGATGAGACATAAAGAACATAGTGGTTTAACACAGTAGCTTGCAGTGTGTGCTCTTATTCGTATCATTCAGAAACTTTATCAGTATCGTTAATCCTCCGATATCTGTTATATATTTTTTTGTCTATAAGTGAAATATTTTTGACACATAAATGATGCTTTCTATTCAAAAAGTCATCAATATATTATGCTTTAAACTGTCAACATCCGGCACACTCTTTTCGTGTACAAATGATTCATCAGTGGCGCTTGAATTGAACCAAGTTATTATTCATCAATCAAAGCCAAAGATGTATTGGCATGTATGAGATATAAAACATTAAGATGATATACATATTTATTAAAAAATAATATCCAGAAAAAATAGATTAGATCTGTTATTCCAAAATACATATTCATACAGATTAGTTGAAGTTTCATATAGTAAAATATAGATCAGTAGTTTTAAGCATGCAAATTATCAGTCACTTTGATGTAGACCTACCAAAAACATTGTTCAAATAAGATATAATAAAGAAGGAAAAGATAACTCATAGCAAATAATTAGCAATCTCAGACAAAACATAGATTATTCATAAAATCCCTCTGAATTTATTCGAGAAATAAATCCATTGTCTTGCATCTTCCCTAAGTTACAAGACAAACTTGTAGTGCACGTTAGTTGTTGTTTGTATCTGTTCTTCTATTCAGTTTTCTATTCTGATATCTTTTCCATTTTCTTGCTTTCATTTTCTTTGATTCTACATGATAAAAAGAATAATAAAAAAAATATAACATTCAAATATTTTTATTTTACTCTCGATTTGCGAAGAATATAACAAAACATGCATTATGTAGTAAACAGACATTTTATATCCATAAGTTCACCATACCAATAAATTAATGAAACTTACAAACACTGAAGATAGATCGAGAGGATTATCTTCTCCTACTATGCATGCGTTACTGGGCGTTTTAAATCACAATCATGATCGGTTTAACAATTGGGAAAACTACACATTATACGACTATTCTGGTTCTAAGACTATCAAAATATGTCGCTAGCTAAATTTTACAAAAAAGTCGGCAGGCAGACATGTCACCAAACCAGGACACATTATTCTGACTCCGAGCTGACAAGTCTTAGCTCTTACTTTTAATGACGTGTGTATAGCGGACAGACAGCAAATACCAATTTTAAAGTCTTTTGTTTGATCACGACCTCCCGCACTCAATGTGAAAACGCTACCACGAGACCATATAGGCGATCACAAAGCAAAGGTGTACAAAATAAAATAAACAATAAGATAATTTGTGTCCATGTAACTCAGTGTCCCGATTTCACTACATTGCTATAATAAGAACTTTGACATCGAATTCATTCCTTAAATTTTGCATAAAATTTAGATTTCGAATATTGCACATCATATACAAATGTGTACCAAGTTTAAAGTAAATGTGACCACAACTTTGTAGAGAAATACCTTGACAAAAAAACCCTAACCTTATATGGGACGATGAACAGACAATCGACAGATGAACATATAGACCGAAAACATATTGCTTTACAATAGCAGTACGACCATACGATTATAGCGCTTTAAGTTATAAATTGGTAATAGTATGTTAGCAGAAAAACGCTTCGGCGCATGAAATTGGTAAAGTGTTGGCAGTTTATTTCCTCGTTCGTGCAAATAAAATTGTAGATTTAAAATCATTTACCTAGTTTCTTTTCTGATTCTTTACATGATTCTGTAAATACAATTTTATACATTCAATTTAGGTGACCAGCTATATATCAATAAAGTTCGATAATAACACAAAAATCACATCATAAGATCTAATTATTTTACTCAGCAATACGTATTCTTTTGACATTATTCATAATAATAGAAAATATATCCAATATCAATGTACAAAAATTTCATTGACACAATGACTAGTATTTTATTCATGTAACATTCATGTACTATTTCGCAAATAGAAATACGTGCCATTTTCATTTGTTTTTTTACAGTTTGTTCAAATTAGTCGTTGTTACACGACTGACAGAAGTGAGGCAGAAGACTGAGCATTCAGCATGTTTGACCAAGACACAAATTATTATAGCCTTTCACAAGTCCGTAAGTAATGGTTGTCGTTGACTGCTGCCTAACATATTTTTTTGCTTGAGTCGGGTCATTGTTTTTCTTGTTTTACTTATTATGTCATGTCCAAGACTTACAACACGGTATGAGTATTTCTAATGTCTCATTGTTGAAGGCCGTACAGTGTCCAGAATTTACAATACGACACGATATCAGTATCTCTCATTGTTGAAGGCCGTACGGTGACCTATAGTTTCTTACATTCACGTTATTCTCTGGTTCCGGTTGATAGTTATCACTGTTGTATTCGTACCACATTTTGCTATATATGGGAAGCTTTAATTCCTTATACAAACCAGTGAATGTCCACGTGGTCTTTTAATTTGTCAAATCAACTTTAGAAATATTTCATGTCACATTCAGCCGGCTCTAATGTTCCTCCACATCATTGCATGTGTTCTTAATAGCTCAATAAATGTCAGGTTTTCGTCTATGCCTCCAGTTAAAGCAAGTGTTTTAATACCTTTGATGTGATCAACTAATTACTGCTATGTTCATTACACGAGATATGATGATTAACCAAATAGGTTAACATTCCTTTATATAAAAGCATATCATGAATGATATAAAATTTCATTATAAGTTGCTGTCCTGAATTTAGGTCTTTTTATCGTGCAGTCTTCTTGAGTGTTACAATATCATCAACATTCAAAACACTGAACTGTTCAAGGAATTAACCCTACAAGTAATTAACTCAATCAAGATAACCAAAGGGATAATAGACAATACACATTGGTACAACACATACTTAGGGCCAACAGAAGAAAATGGATGTTAAAATCTTATAAATCTTGATAAGCGTTTTTTGCTTTTTATGTTAACATACCTGGACATACTCCTAAGGTACAGATTACGGAGACTGTGCTAGAACCAATACAATATTGTCCATTGTTAGAAGCTGGTGGGCTGTCACAACTTCTCTGTCTATATCTTATACCATTACCACATGTGACAGAACATGGTCCAGTCGACCAGGAACCCCAATGACCATCAACTTTAACAGATGAAACTTTATTTGAGTTTGTTTTCAAATTGTATATACATATTTGACATTTGACAGCATTATTGTTTTCAAAACTTTTATATTTTTATTATCAAGACAATGTCGATTAATGAGAAAAAAAGGTAAGTACGATTACCGTTGAACAAACTTTACGTAAAAAAAACCCACAATAATGTTAAAAAAAAACATATCTCCATTAAAATCTTTGTGAGTGACTTAACAATGTCTGTCTTTTGTCACAAAAATGCTTTCAATATAGATACATCTACATCAGGTGCCTTGAAATGATACGTTATGTAAGTTCAGCTGTTCATACCATAGGTCCTAGAACAAAAGTATATAACCATTCCAAATTCAGTTTAGTTTATTATTATTATTTAATATTTATCATCTTAACAGTAAACGTTTTATCTAGGCCAACACTATGTACTCGGAACTGTTGTCTGGGTCGATCTTCACCTAGAAAGCTCAAAACAACATTAACTATGATTCTTTACAAGAAATAACAGTCCTCTCCATCTCCGTTTATTGGCCAGATTCATGACTATTTTAACAATTTTAAATCGAAGTTCCTCAATCTTTAAGTATTTGTTTTTCTAGTCTCACTGACTTACAAATAAATCGGATAAATTATTTTTTACACATATATTGTATATGGGTTTTATTTCAAATCCCGTACAAACAAATACCTGGACAATCACTTAGGCTGCAATCCGATGTATCTACACTCGATCCATTACAAGTTTTTCCACCCGCGGAAGGTACTGGGCTGTCACAAGTTCGATTTCTGGAAAGAATTCCGTTTCCACATGTGACGGAACATGTTGAGTTCGACCAGGAACTCCATTCGCCATCAACTTTTAAATATATATAAACGAAATGTCTAAATGATCTCTTAATTTTATTTTGAATAAAAAATAAATGTTTTATTGCAATTCTTAGTTGATTATTTTCATATTTCACAGGAACTTTTCTTAAAAAAGTTATGTCTTAAATTTCATGTCTTAAATGTCAGTGCTTGTAATCTATGAACAGTTTTTAATTCACACGAGTCAAAAGTGTTATGGTTGGTATTAAAGAATGATTATACCCATATAATACAGTTTAACATATAATGAATGTAACGTAATACCATTATAGATTCAGGAGAAAAACATCTGTAAACTGTGATAAAACCAATGAATTGGATACATGATTTTTTATACAGACATGGGTTCTATTTTGAACCCCGCACATACAAATACCTGGACAATCACTTAAACTGCAATCTGATGAATCTACACTCGATCCATTACAAGCTTTTCCACCCGCGGAAGGTACTGGATTGTCACAAGTTTGATTTCTGGAAAGAATACCGTTTCCACATGTGACGGAACATGTTGAGTTCGACCAGGAACTCCATTCGCCATCAACTTTTAAATATAAACAAAGTTTCTTCTAGATGATCTCTTAATGTTATTATGAATAACAAAAAAAGTTTTCTTTACAATTGCTACGTTGATTATCTTCATATTTCACATGGAACTTTCTGTTTAAAAGTTATGTCTTAAATATCATGTCTTAAATGGCAGTGCTTGTAATCTATGAATAGTTTTTAACTCACATGATGCTAAAGTGTTATGGTTGGTATTAGATACATGAAATATTGTATGAGATCACAAAAAGATAGAAAAATAGTTCAAACTACTACGCTATCTCTCCACCGTAATAGACACTTTTATCTAGAACATTTTGAAAAAAAATTAACCAATTTTACGTTGTATGATACTGCATTCATCGTACTAGACAATTTCTGATGAGGTTTTGCGTTTAATTTTTTTACTTTCATCATATATTTAGCAGTAAGCGTTTCTTTGCTTGCAAAATGAGAAAGTCACTGCTTTTCATTCGTATAAATACAAATAACAGCATTCAATTCTAAAGCAAAATAAGCTCCTTTTTCATAATTTACAATTGTGATTGTTTTATATCATCACGCACTTTATTACGAACAAGTTATGGTTATAATTCGATTATAAACTATAATGTATATTGAAATGACGATTCTGTGCCCTTTTCTACTGGCACAACTATGGATTGGTTTACTCTTTCAATTAAGCTATTCCATACTAACCTGGACACTTTGATACATCAAATGCATCTAAATCAGTATTTGTTTTAAAATCAGTGCAATCGCCGTCGAAGTCCCGAAGCCTGGTTTGATTAGACGACCAGTCAATCAAATCAGCCATTGTACAGCATATCAATGGGTTATAGCCAAGATATCTTCAACATGAACAAGTACCATTTATTTGAATATTTGAAAAGTATATTTTCGTTCTTCACCTTAACGTATAATTCCTTTGGTAGACTTGCAGCTATTGAATGAACTAATTTTTTTAAATGCAATGTGTTATTGCTAAAGAAATGAAACCCTTCCTCAAACTCGATTGTTGTTTACCTGTCAATTTAAAATTTTGTAAGTTCAGTCGTCCTATTGAATAAATATATTGTTCTCTGTGGAGTTTATTCACTGGGACCTTTACATTTCTCCTAGGAGAAATCCATTAGTCATTGAAGACAGATTAATTTACCTGAAGAGAATACTTATTCTCTAAGTAAATGATAATACATGTATCAACTCACAAAAATTGCATGTGATGTTGTATTTATTCAATATCAATAATATATTTTTAATCTCTTCGATATACACACTGATTTAAACATAAAACATTCTGACACAAATTTAGCATTGTCCTATATATTTGTTTTTTTGTGTGTGTTTGACAAATAAAAACTGTAAAACGACAATCTTTAGATTAAGGTCTCCATAAAAATATTCTATGAGTAGACAAACACACAAAAAAACCCGCAAATTTATCTATTTTGTAGATAATTGTTTTCTTCGGGTAAACTTATCAATGAGTGCTGTAAACATTTATCGGTCAGAACAATACCTATTGTATTTTTCAATGGGACAGTACATTGTTCAAATATTCAAATTGACTCAGGTAATGCTACTCAAAGTGTGGAAGTGTTTTATTTCCTTCGCAATGAAACAAACCAACAAAATAAAAAACCTGATTGATAGGATAAAGATAAAATCAATTACCAATTAGGGTTGAAGGAAAAGTTACTTAAATTAATTTGATATACTAAAAGATCATTGTAATTCATTTAAAATATACATTTGGGAAAAAATTTACAGATATGTTGACTACTAAAAGTAAAACTTCTTTCAACGAAGAATGATAATGTTCGTTCCAATTATACCATAATGCATAATAAGTTATAAGTATATATGAAATACAAAACAAAAGCGTTTTAAGATATGCCAATAGTACTCACAAATATTCTAAAGCTGTCAAATCTGCAAATATACTAGCTGATACCGTTGTCAACTTGTTATATTCTAAATTTCTGAAATACAAATATTGCCAACATTCAAACAGGAAATACAACAAAGGACAATAATATGACATCCAATGCCATTTTAATCAGATGCCGTTTTCTGAAAGGACACTAATATGACATCCAATGCATTTTAATCAGATGCCGTTTTCAGAAAGGACATTAATATGACATCCAATGCCATTTTAATCAGATGCCGTTTTCAGAAAGGACAATAATATGACATCCAATGCCATTTTAATCAGATGCCGTTTTCAGAAAGTCGTTGACATACATCATCGTGAACAAGTCAATAGATATTTTCAATTCCTCTGTCTCCATATAAACACCTAGTACCCTTTATTATCAATTTCGCTGCTTTTATCTCAACACAAAATGGAAGTAATCAACTTGCAAATTAAGAACAATACTGGAACATGATCTATTTCACTGGATGAGTGATATGGACTTTCACATGACATGCTACGATAGGTTCTGCTATTGGAACAGTGACACTCTCGTCCTACAGCACATGTGCTCAATCTTATCTGCGTTTGATTGTTGTTTGGCCTTATATGTTTGACTTTTGTCATCAAAATTGGCTATCTTAGAAATGACAGTAACGTAAATTAATATGTATCGTACCCCACCCTGCTGACGCCACTTGGTCTTAAAGTTTGCAAACAATCGTAGAAATAGTTCGAATTTCTATACGTTAGGATTTCTTCGAGTTATTAAAGGCTTCCTTGTCATCTGGACCTTGAATGTATTGTAACAAAAATGTTAACAAAAATACCGTACTTCAAGGCAAATTCCAAAAGGAGAAGTCCATAAAAACTGGCAAAATCAAATATTAGACTATAGCAACCAACAGAACGAATGGAAAACAGCTGTCAAGTTCCTGACTTTAAACCTTGTTTAATAGCTAGCCAAACCTCCCATTTGTATGATATGTTGTTTATAGTTCCTTTATATTGACAAACTTGGGTGAGCAACCCAAGCAGACATATTTGGTTAATGTGACAATAACTGGGATTAAGCAGCCAAAACTGTGTAAATATATATAACAGACATACAACACACAGACTACACAATTCAAACCAAAATACAAATGAATCTTACAAAGACGCCAACAAAAAAAGAGTAATTGTATTTGATAGTAAAGCTGACAAAGCCGACAACAACATTTTTTTATAGTTGATAGTAAATTAAAAAGTAAAATAACAAAAATACCGAACTCCAAGTAAAATTCAAAACGGAAAAATCAAACAACTCAAACACAACAAACGAATGGAAAGCAACTGTCATATTTTTTACTTGGTACAGACATTTCCTTATGCAGAAAATGGTTTATTAAACCTGTTTTTAAAGCTAGCTTAACCTCTCACTTGTCCGACAGTTGCATAAAATTCCATTATATTGACAACAATGTGTGAGCAAAACAAACAGACATAATAGGTAAAACTTTAAAAAAGTGGGGTACAGCAGTCAACATTGTGTTATAATCTTAATCACTATAAAACAAACAACTGTGTCAACAATGAAAAAAAAATGGCATATAGACACTCTATAGACAAGGCACATATATAAAACATAATACGGTACTAGTATAGACTATCCCGGTAAAATACAACCTACGTGAAAACACAAAACAGGGAGAAACAAAATATAAATAACACTGTAAAAATCCTTGCGTCCGAATCCCAGCTCTTTACCAACCTGCACCAGGAACGCCGAAAGCCAAAACCCCGATAGCTGGATGCACAAATACCGAGTCACAGCAAGAGTCATTCTGTCAAGTGGAACAAAATAGCACTACGACAAACAAAGGAAAAACTGTAAAGTAAATATTAAGTTACACACCTTCAGCCCCTACACTGACTATGTATCTATAAGGTATTGGTACTTTCCGATGAACTTTTTGAGAAAAAGGACGAGACGTTCCATTGCAGAATCTTGGCTCATTAACTTTTTGCGCAGACACAGATGACGTTTTACAAAGTCCGAATAGTACCTGCAAGCTCTTGAATATCGTATGAGTGGAGAAATGTTTACTCCATACGTGGGTGAAGTTTGTATATTGCTGCTTAGAGGAGGAAACTTGTTTGTCATATATATGCTGGTACTGAGATAACCACTGTACTAAAGTTCGAGGTATATATATAGACATGAGGCGGTGAAAGATGTATATACGGTTTCGTTAATCTCTAATTCAGGATGATTAATGGGACCGTATCAGAAAAGTTTGGATTGTTAATGGAAAAAACATCATTAATGAACCTGTATGTGAAATTAAATGACATAATTTCTTTGATCTTTTTATTTTTACAAGTGTCTGAAGGAACTCTGACTCATATGAAAATATGAAAAGTCAACCAGAATAGGTGCACAGGTAGGTCCCATAGGTATACCGACATCCTGCTGAAGACGTCTACCTCCAAATTCAACAAATATGTTGGCAATGAGGAATTCCATCATACTGAGCACTTATTCTTCTGTGTAGCATGTTTCATTTTCGTGCCCGGTTTTAGCAAAATATGCCGAATTATATCCAAAAATAATAAATTTGTAGCGTATTGTACCATTTTATGGAGGAAAACATTGTGGGTTATTTCTTTTAGACGGGTTTTCAATTTTTCATATGGTATGGTGGTGAAAAGGGTGGGTAATCGAAGGTTTTGATATCCATATTTGCCGAGGAGTAGAAACACCTTACTGTTTCGAGTATTTTACGTTTTATGAAATAAAACATTTTTGTTTAGTTTAACTAAGTCTGACAAGGTCTATTTTTGCCTATGGGAAAAAAAAACTTAGCATAAAAGTGATTTTTACGTTTAATGAACATAACATTAACATAAATTGAACTAATCAATGATTTCATGGCGGCAAGAGTGCTGAATACTGTTATTGTAATACCTTTGCGGACAAAACATTCTCGATTAAGCGTTTATTAAATCTACTAAAGTATGACGGGTGTCTCATTTATAGATGACCCGTCAGTGACATACAAAAAATGTAAGCTAAAATGCCAAATACGAACAGTTTTATAAGTTTTTCCCAATGTGTATTGGTGTTGGCAAGCTTTTTATACAAGGACTGTGTATATGTCGGTGCTGAATATCTGCCTTTTGGCTATAGTAGCAACAATAAATATGTGGATCTAGACAGCTTAACAGTTATGTACTTTTGATTCAAAACATGTGTTTATGCCAATCACACAACCAATGGGTTTCCATTGACAACAGCACTTCAAGTGTTCCATTACAGGACAAAAATGATACAGCAGGTTTTTGTAGTAGGGCAAGATTGGAATATAAGCCCTGCATATAGGCTCCATATGAGCTTATTCTTAGCAAATTATGCCTAAAGGAACAGTGCCAAAAGCAGTACAAGGAATAGTTATTCACGCCCCTTTCTATGTGTCGTTGACAACTTCTGTCATGGTGGTGTACTCACCTATTGCAGATACTATGATATAACTTCTTATCTTTAGATTTGAAAGCAACAAGGGTAAGATACAGTGATACAGAAAAAAAAACGAAATAATAAATACATTTCTCAATGACGCGCTCGTGTTTTTGTCTAACACAAAACACATTAACCACAACAAATTACAAATTGTCCGTTATGTAATAATGACCTTTAAGTGAATGGTTTACGTTAAAATGAAATACTTACAATTCTCGCAATGATCCAAGACTTTTGAATGTATCGGGTTTTATGCTGGTTAATTTATTGTTGTCTACGGTTCTGAAAAGTATTAGACGATCAATCCATTAACATAAAATAAAAAACAGCACGCGAAGCACCTGTCGTGGGTTCTAGTTGTATGACTCAAGAACGCTGATTTACTTCATTTTCTGATTATGAATTTCTTTATTTGTAAATTCTGGTCATATAACTCCTGTCGTATTGCAGCATTTATACATCTTTGGCTGTCGACTTGCTTTTGTTTTAGCATTCCTGATGAAGGTTGAACTCAAATAGTTCTTCTGATGCACCACATTATGAAGTGTTGTTTTCAATTGTGAGTTCAGTTGACTTAAGCTCTATTTGAAGGTGATTTCCTCGTACATACAAATTATACTTAACTTATATACCTATATGGAGTCCTTTCCTTTTAGAAAGATCGGTATATCGTTTGACGGAACAACCCGGACGATACCAACTTTCAATGAAATATGAATCAAGGCACAACATAATGGCCTGTGTAAGGTCAATATTTACCCTAATTTTAAACATGCAAACTATAGTTTGTCAAAACATTATATTCATTTCATAGTAATCGTGTGTTATTGCCAATTGGGCTTTTACTATACAATTTTCCTTTGTCTTTAAAGGCTTCAGGCCGAAACGATCCTTTTTTCTGTTCATTAGACTCCAATGCGTTTACGCAGAGTTTAATTTTCGAAACAAATAATTGGATTTTTTTTTAATTTATCGCTACAATAAAGAGACAATATGTGAGATTATTTTATAACGCAAAACTTTTCAAAACACTTTTTCAACAAGCCAAGTGTTATCACATTGATGTTTAGGATTATAAAAATAATAAATTGAAATAATCATGCTGAATCACATCGTATTGCAATAGATCTCTGACCACTATGACTTTCGGATATCCGTATCCCTTATTACATGTACCTTGCTATTTAGAGCTTTTATCTATGATGAGTTTATTTATTGCCTACTAATGTTTTTACCATTTTTAAGGGTACCCTAAAATTGTCATATTCAATGAACGTTAAACATAAAAAGAGACTATGAATTTCAATACGATTTTTTACCCTTACGCTTTCAATTGTGAAAATATCAGAAAAATTAAACAAGAGGAACATTTTTAGGTTACATAGGCCTACCCCCTTAGGTCTGGAAATTACTTCTTTTAACTTTATGTAATTTCCTTACGTGGTTCCGATTTTGTACACCGACCTGATTCTAAAATTTTTTTAAATAGCTGTGTTTTTATTCATTCTTTATATTTCGATAACTGTGTATGCGGGGAGGGGATATGTGTAATTAAAGTGTCAGCATGTCATTCGAAATGATTGGCTGATTAAATATTTGAAATAAAGGTTATACGAATATCACCTCTTATATGGGATTTTTAGAACTTGCACGACGACAAACAATTATAAAGGAGCAAGGTGACAGATCTGATTATAATCAGATTGTAATTTGTTTGTAACAATTTGAATAAAATCTGTTCAAAAACAAGAACCCTTTCATGTGCGTACAATCTTAACTATTTGGAATGATAAATTTCTCTCACTTATCTATTTTGTCAATCGAAAAGGTCCGCATTTTGATTATCTTTACTTTTATGTTTGCATGTTGTGATAAAATACTCACAAAATTGACAAAGACCTAAGACTAGAGAACGCACCAGCTTCAATACTCGAAATTTCGTTGTAGTCAAAATCTCTGCAAAAATATTTTGATATCAGTTCATACAGTTATAGTTTCATGCTGCTTCAGACAAGAGTACTAGTAAACGTACGTTCCAAGATAATTATGGCGAACAAGTAATTTACAATATTAAATATTACCAACTGAAAATAATACTACAGGAATTTGTATCATATAATCTATTATAAATTGGATTGTTTTGGGTATCGTAATTTATTTGTGATGATAAGAAATGGAGGCATCAACAGTTTACTGATTTTCAAATCTATGTTAAACAGCATAACGTATTAATTGAGATATGTAAACGCCACACGAAATTACAGATGGTATATTGAAAGTGTACAAAACAGCACCAATATTAAAACAAAAAACAAAATATCAGTATATCTTTAATCCCGTGTATTATAAATTAGTGATCACATTCGAGACTTCGGGTACTACTCTACTTACAAATTCTCAAGCGATGTTAATGCAGATAATGATGTGTTATCTATCGACTGAATGTTATTTTCATATAGCAATCTGGAAAAAAAAACGAAGTACAATTCTAAGAGTAGCTATTTTAATCAATAAATAGCGATTATTACGAAATTGTTACCTACCAAAGTAACAAATTAATACTGTAAATTCAGAAATTATTGCGAGGTTTTTTATTAATGCGAATAATGCGACTACTTGAGTATCGCAATAATAAGAATTCGCATTCTGATATCAAAAACAGATATTTGTATTCAGCTTTTCCAAAACTCGCAATAATTAAACTCTCATTTTTGTACGTTCTTAAAAAATCTCAATAATATATGCACGCAATAATTTCAGAATTTACAGTAGCAAAACTAGTTCCGTTGATCATATATTCTAAACATTATCTGCATATGACATAACTAGATTAGGAATACAGATAAACATACACATATGTGATAAATCATAACTTAAACAATCGTTGATTAGACAATGGAAGTAATATCGAGAAGAATAACAACGATTAGTTAGCATTTATTAGATACATGTAGAGATCTGTACTGTTACATAGGATTTATCCAATTATTGTTTCAGCGAAAAGATCCCTTTGGTTTCTATCTTTAATGAAGAGGTTGTTAAATGACATCTAGAATTTCTTACAGTCACATAAATATAGCGCACCTGTTGGAAATCCTGTGCTTATAAATAACAAGTTGACAATGTATCGTTGACAACTTGCACCTTTAGAAATAAATGTTATTGTGTAAAACATCTCTTAACCCAATTAACAATTTATCGAAAGATATGCGGTAATGCAGATTGAAGTTTTAAAGTTGCATTGTTCTGTCAATATTGTACTTCCATTATTAGACTAAATATAATACACTTGCTTCTTATTTATATTTGTTAAACAGTGTATGTTGAATTATTTTTGTACGAGACTCTCAATGATTTAGCGATTCACTGAAGCATGACTGGAGCAGGCCTCCTGTTAGGCAGTCAGTGGGCCCCCACTTATGAAAATTTCTGGATCTGTCACTGCAACTGGATGAAAAAGTTGTGTAGTTTCAGAACTTTTCCGGATTGGTATAAATATAGCGATAAGGTGTATTGTGAATTCTGCATGAGGGTGTGGATGGGGGTTTACAGAATAGAGAATAATGGGGGGAAAATATAAATAATAGAGAAAAATAGACCTTAAAATAAAGAGAATAACGAGGTCCTAAAATATAAAGAATGCAGATTAATGGGCACAAAGTATAAAAAATAGAAAAAAATGGCATTAAAATTATAGAATACAGAAATGAAGGACCCCAATTGATACCCTCCTGCTAGCTGCGGAACCGTAGCTCTTAGGTCCTTTTGATAATTTTTGACTATTTGCGGACATTGCGTAGCCGTACATTTGCTCCTACTTTGTTTTTTGTGTGCATTTATTAATTCTGGAACGTCACACGATTGTTTCCTACACTTGTTTGCTGATATTTGGTGAATTAAATTTAAATAGTTTTGACAAATATTAGTTTCATCATGAGGATTGGAGTCACAATGTATAAGCCCTAGCTATGCAAAAAGTTGTGTTATAATATGTTGATTGAAACTGTCCAAGTTTAAGGGTATTTCTGCATCACAATTCATTGATGCAAATTTCCTAAAGAAAGAGCATTCTACACTCATAATGGTTTAAAGGAATTTTTAGTTGACAGCAGAAGTAAGTTTGTCTGCTATTATGTAGATCTTCACTGTCTTATTACTGAAGAGTCATAAAAGTGGACATAACTTACTTATACAGTTCAGGGGCCTGTACTTTATTACTATAGAAATATATACTAAAGGAGATGAGCTATGCTAATGTGTTTAAAATACATTTTCTATATTTTGAATATCAAATAATATTTTGGTAAAGCTCTGAATAATACCATTAAATATAGGGATAAGTATTATAAAAACCTCTATGTAGGTGACCCGCAGGCTTATTGCCCCAAAAATATTTTTATGTAAATTCGATAAAAAAAACAACCTTTATTTAATTTTTCATAATGATATATTTTAGAAATTCTGCTTTTGGAGTAAATTAGATGTCGAAAATGGTCAAAAATCAAGGATTTCTTCAGTAAAATATAGCAAATAACCACACTAAAATCTAATAATCAGACATAAAATTTTATCAATACTTGGTGTTAATAATTTTTTACACCTGTATAATCCTAAATACAACTGCTGCAGTGGAAGAAAAGGTATTGGATTGTCTGAATATCTCTTAATAATTGGTCACTTGCCGAAATACACAAAATGCCTGTATAATCCATCCTAACAAGACCATGGTGATAAAAATATTGGTCTGTATTATGTCCCCATGGTTCATTCCTTTAATATGAACCAAAAAAATATAACTTTAAAAAAATTAATTCGGCCATCAATTTTTATATTTGGGCCATTCTTACAGAGAATCGATGTTAAGGTTCTTAATTGTGATATTTTAAAAGCGTATATCCTATTCTATATCCTCATATCAGAAACCTTATGGTGTTATATGATGATAGTCAAAGAGTATTGGTCTACATCATGATATTTAGATCGTATGGTTCTACTTCATGATAATTTTGAGCTTGTGGTTCTACACCATGATATTCCAAAAGCTTATGGTTAACATAATGATTTTCAAAAACGTACTGTTCTACATCATCATGATATTTAATAGCTTAGTCTTATACTTCATTATAATCAAATGATTATATTTCTACTGAAAATACCGAAAATATGGAGCAAACATCAATAAAGGTCAAGTTAATATCATATTTAGAAACTTTGAACGACGTTATTTTTACTTCAGTGACTTTTACGTGTTTAACTGATGTTTATGTACAAGATTTACGCGAATATGCTTATTCTTGACGTTTCAACGTCTGCAACCTGTCATCACCTTTTTACTTACCATTAGGAACACAGTTGCAAAATTTTAGTTTATGTTAAGTACGATTATTCTATCGGCGATAATCTTGTCTATAATTATCTTTTGCAGGGTGCATGTACCTATATTGTTTAATTACCTACATTCTTATTAAAACCGAAATCATTATTGAGATTCAATGAAAAAAAATGTTCATAGCTATGACAAAATCTTTTGTGTTTTTAAAATTACGGAATTTTTATCAAACTGAAGATTATGGACCAATATTACAACATTAACACATGAATCATGAAATCGATATTAATAGAAATATAAAAGCATCTGGGACAAGCACAGTCATTATATGATCATGATTCATTTAAATGTTACGGAACAAACATTAGGCAATACAAACATAATATGACTTTACGTTACTGAGTTCAATATAATGTCGATCAAAGTAAACACTATTAAAAATAACAAATTTACAATTGAAATGTGTAATTAAACGCCAATACTTACAAGCTTGTTGTATCTGTAGGAATATTACTTGGAATTTGTGCTAAATTTCTTGTCGAACAGTCAACTTCTAGTCCACTACAATCGCACATTGACAATGCTGGTTCGGTACATTGCACAGCATAAACTTCTTTTAAAAAGCGGAGGGTCAAAACTACTATCGTCTTAAACAACATGGTTCCAATTTTCATGTCGGTGCTCTTTTGAATGTTACTTTATCAAAAAAATGAAATTTTATGAAAAATGTAAAATGGTGTTTTCTCAAATTTTGTAAAGATATTTCAAAAATAACGAGACATAGCTGAAAATAGTGTGTTTAAATATTGGGATGAATTAATCCTTAAATACTCGTAGACCTTCATGACCAAAGGCGACCTTAAGAAATATCAAAATCATCTTAAGTTCAATTTTGCATACGAGGGTAGGAACCAGTTTCCTAATAATTTCTAAATTTATCAACAGATCAATTCAGAAAAGTTTGTTATAAATCATGACGATGATGAAGCACTGAATACTGTTCTGGTAATACTCTCTTGCACTAGCAGTTCATCAACAGCGGTATCTACCCAGTGGTACAATATGAACATCCTACTTCTTACATTCGGTGAGTTCGAAGCATACTTTTCTGGATTAATAATAGTTTTAAATGCTCAACCCGAAAAAGTGTACTATCTGCATTATATCACCTAACCTGTGTTTTAACAAAGCATGCCAGATGTGAAGCAAATAGAAATTACTGATGAATGTTAACTTTTCATTACATCAAAAACCTATGTTCGGACAAAACACAAATTAGTTATTGTATTTTGAGCATAAGATTGTCATTATGCTTCTGAAAAATGAGGTTTTCCCCTAAAGATAAAAATGCAATAAAATAAACAAATCTTTAAACATTTAATAAAGTTTTGAATAGGAAGTTGTAGACACGAAGATGATGCTCACACAGGTGTGAAGTATTTCAGAAAAATCTAAAAATAAATATGTTCAACTGTAATACGTCTCTTGTTACTTATAGTCATTGCTTTGACTTGTTGCGGTCATGACTGGGTCAATCTCATCGCATACCCTGTCGACGAACCAGATATCGGTTTCTTTTGGAGATCATTGTTTTACCTTGATTTGTAGCTTGTATATGAATTTTGATATTTTGAAAATTGGTAAGCTACTTAATCCTCCAATTTCAAATCAGACTTACGAAAGCAACACGGACGATCTATAATGACAGTTGGGACAAACTGTAAAGACAATACGTCTATAATGAAAAGAAGGACTAATATTTGATAATAAATTCCAAAATAAAACCAATTGCTTGTGTATTTACAAAGACATGCATAAGACATATGAACCGTATACCTTATAAATGAGTATATTTTTGCATCATCATTCACAATATTAACTTTGAACAAAACATATAATGTGAAAGGAAACTATGAAGGATGTGCTTAATAAAAAAATAATAACGTAACAATAAGGGTGAAAACTCATATTTATTTTGGCAGTTGTTAAATTTGAATTGTTTGAACCTTTATCTAAATATTTTGAAAGAAAACTACCTATAATAAAACGTTACAGAGAGGCGGAACATGTGAAAGGGATCTTCAAACTCATAAGTTAAAAATCAAACTGACAGCGCCATGGCAAAAAAAAAAAACGAATTACGACAAAAAGACAAACAACAGTCTACTAAACCCAAAATGAAAATATCAAGACTGAAGAACACGAACCCCATAACAAAAAACTGTGATCTCCGGTTTTCTGGAAGAAACCTTCATTGCAAAAATTATTTTCGGCTGAACTGCATTGCTTAATTTGTGTAATCAAACTAAATAGCTTATCATTAATGCAATTGATTAAACCAAATGTTGAAAACCAATTCAAAAGAAATACCTATTTAGTAATAATTTAATTAAATAATACCAGCTAATTTAACATGTTGTTACTTGTTATCACTAACACACAAGAGAAGGCTCTTCAGTTTTTTAAAACTGGTTTGCCTAAAGAACTTTTTAGACATTCATAGACGTCTTTGTGAATATATTTCATCTGTATTCTACTGTCACAATGGTGATGTTACGATGAGTCAAAATAAATGAAAGAACTTAGAAGTTTGAAAGTTGATCGTATCCTTGGTAATACTAAGACTTTTGATAGTGAGACACCAGTGTCATGTTTTACTTTAAAAAAAAAACTATAATCGTTGCCTCTTAGGAAAGGTCAAAATACGAAAACAAGTCTATAATGAATTTGCTTTATAAATTGAGACACAATAAGAAAAAAATACGTGTTTCCGGTTCATAACGAAATATCGATTGACGTAAGTAATGATAAATTTAATAAAAGTGTTGACCATAAAGTACATGATTTAAACATACGCACCTGGTACTTTAGAGAAACCAATATAATGTTCATAGTCTTATGTACAAATATTGTCAGGAAAGAATGCAATCTAACTCTTGCAATTTCATGATTGAAAGATGAATATATTTTTGCTGTAATAACAAAATTATCCGACAAGCATGTGCAAACAATGCAAGAACAATGTCGAAAAAACCATGCGATGTCAACACCTTTGACGCACGAAAGAAATAAGCTACCATTACAGACAAGACAAAAATATTCGGCATGTTCAGAGTTACAGAAATGACAATAATAACAAAACAGTTCTAATGTGACCTGACAAATAACAATGTACCAAGTAATAACAAATTTAGTACTTGTATAATCAATTAGTTATAACACAATGAAAATCTTGTCTTTACTTACATTCAATTCTGTTCTCAAAGCAGCTGATACAAACTATCTAATCTTGTAATCTCAGGTAGATACAGCTGGTTTCAATGCTATACTTGTAAACATATATACCCTGACAATAATGTTTTGTGTTGTCATATTTGCGTATGAGGAAGAAGGAAGCTTTAGTCAATTTATTTTCATTGGTTTGCTAAGGATTTGTTTTTATTCAATCAAGGAAGAACGTTTTGGACAATTAAACACGTTAACCAAGCAACAAGATAAAGATAGAAATATTTTAGCAACAGATGGCAAATATCCCTACTGAAGGGAAACATCGTGTATGTACTATTGATAATCAATAATACAAATAATTAATCATTCGCGAAACTGGGATTGCTGCTATCAAAGTAACAAAATCACGATATCTCAAAGATAAAGTTGTGACATAAAGATTTGGTCAATTAGATTGTTTAATTCTAATAATTTGGAAACAGAATTGAATGTAAGTAAAGACAATATTTTCATTGTATTATAACTAATTGATTATACAAGTACTAACTTTGTTATTGCTTGGTAAATTGTTATTTCTCAGTTCACATTAGAAATGTTTTGTAATTTTCAATTCTGTAACTCTGAACATGCCGAATATTTGTGTCTTGTCTGTAATGGTAGTTGGCTTCATTCGTCCGTCAAATGTGTTGCAATCGCATGGTTTTCGATATTGTCCTTGCATTGTGTGCACTTGCTTGTTGAATAATTTTGTTATTACAGCAAAAATATGTTCATCTTTCAATTATGAAATTCCAAGAGTTAGATTGCATTCTTTCCTGACAATATTTGTAGATCAGACTATGAACATCATATTGGTTATTCAAAAAGATATTTAAGATAGAGAATTGTACAAATGTGAAATCTCAATACTTACTTTTGCTCTTTAGCGCAATATTTCAACAGTAACTACTGGTATTCAATCTCTGCCATAAATATATAACAAGTTAAACATTTTGAAGCTTAGCAATGATTTGCTCTCATGTAAGGTAGGGTATTGTTACTATAATGAAGGAACTGTATGATTTGAAAAATGTCAAGGCAATATCTTTTCATAGATATATATATATCAATTAGTAAATTAATTTTAAATGAAAGGCAATTTTCATAAATGCAAGGTAATTTTTTAGGGTCGAGTTAATAATTATGACGATCTCCTTCCATGTGCTAAGTTAATTAAAACCTGTGCTACGCTCGCGAGACATCAAGATGACACTTGCATCGTCATTTGTATCTTGAACGATCATGGGTAAAACAGAAATTTGTTTTGCCAGGACATGCAAAAAGATTTAGTCTATATGTTTTTGTAGGATATTTTATCCTGTGAAGCTTGATTTTGTTCTTAAGGTTTTTGCTTCGTCAAATCAAAATACGTCCTATACAAATCGAAATATTTCTTTTATGTCAGGCCCTTTGCACATTTTAAGGCATTGGAAGGCATTATATATTTGTTAATATTTTACAACTTTTACAATTTAATTTGCCAAAACATGACTGTTCACATCTTGCTTTTTTAAGTGGCAATTATTTCACACATACACAGAATGAGAACAAATTAACAATTCAAACAATATATGGTTTTATCAAAATAGAGGTGGAAAGCAAGAAATTTGAATTGTCACTGGAAAATTGTTGGATATGCCAGACAGTTTGCTTTGCTATATGCCTCTTAATGTCCGTCCAGGGAGTTTTTGTAAAAGTTCTTAAACGTGAAACAAGCGAGTAAATGACTTTAGACGAAGCACCGGATTAAACAACCCCATTCCAATTAGATGTGTCTGCGCATTTTTACATTTCATAGAACAGAACGGACGCTTTAGCAAGGTATTAACTGCCGGAACAGGAGAAGTTCAAGGAGGACCACTTTTCTATACCACATTCAACCTTATTGGATGGAAATGCATAATACGTTTAATTCTTATATTGAGTGTTTAATATGTACAAGTTACGTCGACAGTTTGGAATCATCTAGTCATTACAATCTCTGCTTAAATATCTGTATTATTTGTGGTTTCGTGCATTCATATTATATATACTTTCATTCTAAAATAGCTTTGAAAAGTTTCTAACTTTGTTGTAATAAGTTGTTTTGATATTATCTGACGTTTAAATATTTAGAATCTGAATTGGGTCGCAAAATAAATCATTGTTGAACCTGTGATCTTCTGAATTAATCATGATGATCCCTCTCTTGAATTCACTAGACAGAAGGTTGATAACTTATAGATGCAGGAATGCAGAACACGTTATCGAATTTTCACAATTAGCTTGATTTCACAAGGGAAATTTTAAAAAAATTTCATTGTTGTTTCTGAGAATAATGCGATGAAAATTTCAATAATAGTCATTCGATAAACACTAAGATGATCAAAGAAATGCTTCTTAAATGGTATTGAACGGACGGACGGACGGACTGACGAAAACCTAGATGAACGGACAGACGTAAACCAATATAGCCACCCCATTGGAGCAAGGTGAGATATCCATATGTTTACTATCTATGGGCACCACAACATATGCCACTTTTGGAGCTTTCTAAACAGTCACTTTACTGTTTTCTCTTGCTTAAACAATGTCATTCGTCGAGCTACTCTTTTTTCCTTCCGAATGTTCCGTAGTACCATTTTCCTCACAGTTCTAATAAAAAAAAATCATATGAAAGACTGGTCTGTACACTTAATCTCAAATTATCATATTATAATATGCATATAAGAAATTTTATTCTACGAACATCCAAAACAAAACATCATACATTTCAATTTTTGATCCAATTAGTCTATGATTTACCCATTCTTTATGTTGCATCTCTATCTTTGAGATATCATGATTTTGTTACTTTGATTATAGCAATACCAGTTAGGCGAATGATCTATGTTTATTGTTATTGATTATCAATAGTACATACACGATTTTGTCCTTCAGTATTGGGATTTGCCATCTGTTGCTAAAATATTTCTAAGATGAGGAAGAAGAAAGCTCTAGTTGATTTAATTTCATTGGTTTGCTAAGAAACTTTATTTTTCTCATTCAAGGAAGAACGTTTCGGACAATGAAACACGTTAAACAAACAACAAGATGAAAATAGAAATAATTTAGCAACAGATAGCAAATCCCAATCCTGATGGAAAAAATCGTGTATGTACTATTGATAATCAATAATAACAAACATAAATCATTCGCCTAACTGGTTTTGCTACTATCAAAGTAACAAAATCATGATATCTCAAAGATAGAGTTGCAACATAAAGAATTGGTAAATCATAGACTAAATGGATCATAAATTGAAATGTATGAGTTTTGTTTTCGATGTTCGCAGAATAAAATTTCTTATATGCATATTATGAAATAATAATTTGAGATTAAGTGCACAGACCAGTCTTTCATTAGATTTTTTTATTAGAACTGTGAGGAAAAGGGTACTACGGAACATTCGGAGGCAAAAAGGTAACTCGACGAATGACATGGTTTAAACAAGAGAAAACAGTAAAGTGATTTAAGTGAAGTGGCTGTTTGGAGTAGCATATGTTGTGGTGCCCATGGATAGTAAACATATGGATATCTTACCTTGCTCCAATGGAGTGGCTATATTGGTTTACGTCTGTCCGTTCATCTAGGTTTTCGTCAGTCCGTCCGTCCGTTCAATACCATTCAAGTCGCATTTTTCTTATCATCTTAGTGTTTATCGAATGATCATTATTGAAATTTTCATCGCATTATTCTCAGAAACTACAATAAAAGTTTTGTTAAAATTTCCCTTGTGAAATCAAGCTAATTGAGAGAATTCGATAACGTGTTCTGCATTCCTGCATCTATAAGTTATCAACCTTCTGTCTAGTGAATTCAAGAGAGGGATCATCATGATTAATTCAGAAGATCACAGGTTCAAAAATAATTTATTTTGCGACCCAATTCAGATTCTAAATATTTGAACGTCAGATAATATCAAAACAACTTTTTGCAACAAAAATATAATTTGAATGCACGAAAAGACAAATAATACAGATATTTAAGCAGAGATTGTAATGACTAGATGATTCCAAACTTTCGACGTAACTTGTACATATTATACACTCAACATAAGCATCAAACGTATTATGCATTTCCATCCCATAGGGTTAAATGTGGTATAGAAAAGAGGTTCTCCTTGAATTCCTGTTCCGCCAGTTAATACCTTGCTAAACGTCCGTTCTGTTCTATGGAATGTAAAATGCGCAGACACATCTGGTTGAAATGGGGTTGTTTAATCCGGTGCTTCGTCTAGAGTGATTTCCTCGCTGTCTTAACGTTTAAGAACTTAAGCAAAAACTCCCTGAGGGGACTTTAAGAGGCATATTGCAAAGCAAACTGTCTGGCATATCCAACAATTGTCCAGTGACAGTCCAAATTTCTCGCTTTCTTCCCCTATTTTGATAAAACCATATATTGTTTGAATTGTTAATGTGTTATTATTCTGTGTATGAATGAAATAGTGGCCACTTAAAAAAACAAGATATGAACAGTCATGTTTTGGCAAATTAATTTGTAAAATGTGTAAAATATTAACAAATATATAATGCCTTCCAATGTTAACATGTGCAAAGAGGCTGACATAAAAGGAATATTTCGATTGGTATACAACGTATTTTGATTTGTCGAAGCAAAAACCTATACAAAAAAATCAAGCTTCACAGGATAAGATATCCTACAAATTTATATAAACTTAATCTTTTTTAAAAATTTTATTGCATCTCCTGGCAAAACAAATTTCTGTTTTTCCCACGACATCGTTCAAGATACAAATGATGTCTCGCGAACGTAACACACGTTTTAATTAACTTAGAACATGGAAGGAGATCGTCATAATTATTAACTCGACCCTAAAATATTACCTTGCATTTATGAAAATGTCTTTCGTTCGAAAATAGTTTACTAATTGATATATATCTCTTTGAAAAGATATTGCCTTGACATTTTTTCAAATCATGCAGTTCTTTCATTATAGTAACAATACCCTACTTTACATGAGA